CAAAAATGAAGGGGGAGGGGGGGCTGAGCCATTTTTTGCCTTCCTGGCCCTCAACCAGGGGAATCCAGGCACAGCTGATCTTATGTACAGCTGATTGTTGGGAGGGGGGAAAAAAGAAATACCTTAGGCCAGGGGTGTCCAACCTTGGCAACTTTAAGACTTGTGGACTTCAACTCCCAGAATTCCTCAGCCAGCTGGCTGAGGAATTCTGGGAGTTGAAGTCCACGAGTCTTAAAGTTGCCAAGGTTGGACGCCCCTGCCTTAGGCGAACGTCAGGTGGGCGGGGTGAGAGAGCATCAGGTGGGCGGGGTGACTGGGTCAGGGTCGTGGCCAGCCAGAACTTACTATCAGTTTGGTGATCCACGCCAAATCCTTGCTACCGGTTCGCGCGATCCGGTGCGAACCGGCTGAATTACCACCACTGCAACAACCCTGTGATGACCCAGGGTGTGGCACAATGGCAACACAGTCACATAAAGTAAGAAGAGTCCCTTTAATACCTCCAACTTTGCCAGCAATGTCCAGGTTACCTTCGGCTGGAGAGAGAAAAAATAAACTCTCCCAAGAACAGTCTTTAAGTGGAGGAAATTCAGTCCGAAAACAAAGTACATACAAACTGAAAATAAAAATCCACACAAACCACGCTGCAGTAGTTAACTGGACAGGGCAGGAGAAGGAATTGCAGACTTGAAAGACCAGCAAAACACACACACACAGTTGGGAAGACACCAGGAACCCAGGTAAGCCTCGACAATACCAGACAACTCACGATTTGCTTCCAACAACTTTGCTGTGTGCAACCTCCCTTTTTAAACACTTGTGTTCCCAGCTGCGGCTAATAAAGGGAATCAGGGCCCTTTCCTCCCCCGTAAGCCACGCAACTCATGTTGCTCCCTTCTCAGTTCCACCCTGCGTGCCCTAGGATGAAGAGGTGTCCCTGAGTCTTCCTCTGAATTCCCTCTCCCTTGTTCTACCTCTCTCCTGCTCTGCCCAGCCGGCCTTTGCCCTTCCCCAGTTTCTTCCACAGTCAACGGAGCCACACTCCCACTCCCTGTCAGCTGCTCAGCCTCCCCCTCTGAATCAGATTCCAACAGGGGCATAACAAACCCTGTGAGGTAGGTTGGCATGGCAGAGGGCAGTGATCAAACCGACTTCTCCTTCCTTGCAGGGGCTGCATGGAGCTCTGGTTACCAAACACGTACAGCTGGAGTAACTTCACGGTACTGGCCCTCGGTGTCTGGGCCATTGCGCAGCGAGATTCAGTGGATGCCATCTTCATGGTTGGTGAATTTTTGAGTTTTTATTCAGTAGCCAGCTGGAAGAATTGAAGGGGGAGTGGAACAGAGAGCCTTGCAGAAGTTGGGGTTAGGCATATAAAGGGGTTAGTCCCAGAGGTGGGCGCTTCAAAAATTTCAGCAGCCGGTTCTCTGCCCAGTTGCTGGGTGAGCATGGCCATGATGGGCGCCTAGTCGGCCTCCTGCACCACGGCAGGATGGATGTTTTGTAAGATTTTGCAGCAGAAATTCCAATCCAGAAAGCACACACAGATGACTCATTCAGCAGGATTCATTAACTTCTTTATATACATAATAATATGACTAACATATACAATACCAATAGTAGATTCTTCCAAAGTAACACAAGCAGAAGAGAGAACAGCAGAGAACAGTTTCAGTTTCAATTCAGAAGGCTTGTAGCTTCAGAGCTCAGAGCTTAATTTAGAGCCACGCCTAGGTTCCTTCCAGTTTCGGTTTCCAAACAGCCTCATTGACTGACAGTTGCTATGCCTACTCATTGGCTGACCTTGTTACTATGCCTTGGCCAGGTCATGAATATTCTGACAGTTTTTGCCCTCCCCTAAGCCTCCAAGAAGGCGAAAACAGCCTTCCCTGGGCTCAAAAGGGGCCACATGGAGACTCCTGGGAGGGGCCAGACAAGGGTGGGATTTACCGATTCGCTAAACTGGCCATAAAATTAGCTACTGGTTCACCCCACTTTATAAGGCCTTGGTAAGACCACACTTGGAATACTGCATTCGTTCTGACCAAGGCTTCCTGAGACACCAACAAACACACATAAAACCCCAAACCCTTTTTATTTTAGTTCAACGGCTGTGAATTATCGTCATTTCCAGCCCGGAATGAGTCTTAACCAGTTATAATTAGTCCCAGGGATGTTGGCCAAAGTTCTTCAGAAGTCCGATAAGAACGCACCTTTATCTGACTTGAAGTGCTGCCAACGATTAAAGTCCCAATTAGTCTTTCCAAAACCAGAGACCAAATTCACCACGGAGCTTTCAGAGTTCAAACCAATCAACGTTGCTTCCTGCAAAGGTTTTCCTACCTTTGCACTTCCTTTATACCTTAGGGGAGGGGCAGTTACGTCCAAGCCTTACTCCTGAGATGCCCCTTTTGTCTTAGCTGCTCTTGCCTTCTGGCAGCTCTGCACACACGCACCCTGGGAACAGGCTCCCCTTGTTCCTCTGCCTCGCTGCTGCCAGATTCTGGAGGCTCCGGAGTCAGCATATAACTCCCAGATGGTCCTGGCCCCACTTCTGCATCAGACGCAGGACCCTCATCTGAGTCCTCCCCAGATGCCCAGACTGGTCCCTGTTCTTCCCCACTGTCCGACTTTGCTGCCGTCTGCACAGGCTGCCGGCGAACCACAACAGCATCCAGGTTTGGTCACCATGATATAAAAAAAGATATTGAGACTCTAGGACAGGGGTGTCAAATGGCCCACGGGGTGCTTAGATCTGGCCTGTGGGGCAGCCCCAGAAATGGCGAAGACTGGCCCGTGGTGCCTCTGCCAGCAAAAACGAAGCTTGAGAAGGTCACATGCTGTCCTCCCGGGCTCTGTTTTCGGCCACAACGGCCTCCTAACCCTAACCCTAACCATCACCACCCCATGAGCTCCGTTTTCGCTGGCAGAGGGCTAGCAAAGCCAAACTAAAAACCAAACCAAACCAAAGGAGAAATGGTTCCCCCCTTTGCATTTGAGCTTCCAAGAAAGGGGCAGGAAAGAGGAAGGACAAAGAAAAAGAAGGGAAGAGGGGGAAGGAAGAAGAAAGAAGGAAGGAAGGAAGGAAGGAAGGAAGGAAGGAAGGAAGGAAGGAAGGAAGGAAGGAAGGAAGGAAGGAAGGAAGGAAGGAAGGTTGGTTATAATGAAAGGGAGAGAGGTTCTGAGGGAAGTCCTGCCTTAGCACTTGGCCACCACAAGGAACGGGAAGAGGGCAAGGCAGGAAAAAGAAGGGAAGAAGGGAAGGAAGAAGAATGAAGAATGGAGAGGGAAAGAAAAAGAAGAGAAGGGAGGAGGAAGGGAGGGAAGGCAGACAGACAGGCAGGAAGATTATAATGAGAGGGAGGGAGGTTCTGAGGGAAGTCCTGGCCACCACAGGTGTCCCCGACACGAGTGACACATCGAGCTGGCCACACACAACCCAGCCCACCCCTCTGAGGTCAAACACAACCCTGATGTGGCCCTCAATAGAGTTTGACACCCCTGTCCTAGGAAGAGGGCAGAGAAGAGCAACCAGGATGATGAGGGGACTGGAGGCTAAAACATACAATGAACGGTTGCAGGAACTGAGCATGGCTGGTCTAAGTGAAGAGAAGGACCAGGGGAGACAGGAGAGCAGCCTTCCAATATATGAAGGAAGAGGGAGAGAAAGAAAAGGAAAGAGAAAGAGAAAGAAAGGAAAGAACCAAAAGGGAGAGAAAGAGTGAGGGAGGAGAGAGAGAAAAAGAAAGGAAGGAAGGAGAGAAAGAAAGAAAGAAGGAGAGAAAGAGAGAGCAAGAGGGAGTGACTGGAGGCTAAAACCTACCATGAACGGTTGCAGGAACTGGGCCTGGCTAGTCTAGGGAAGAGAAGGACCAGGGGAGACAGGAGAGCATCTTCCAATATTTGAGGGGCTGCCTCCCTCCAAAGAAGAGGGGGGGTCATCCTATTCTCCAAAAAGAAGCAATGGATGGAAGCTTCTAAGGAGAATTTTTCCTGGCAATGAGAATAATTAACCAAGTGGAACAACCCTCACCTCCCGAAGTTGTGAATGGAAGTTTTTCAGAAGAGATTAGACAACCTTTGGTTTGAAAAACGGGATAGGGTTTCTTGCCTGAGCAGGGAGTTGGACTAGATGACCTCCCAACTCTTGTTCCATTCTGTTGACGATGCTCTTTGGGTGTTGTTTCCTTCTCTAGTTCCTGACCGGTTTGCTGTTGACCATCCTGACCGACATCATCCACTTCAGCCTCTACTACCATCTGGTGGTGCTGACCGATACCATGCGCTTCTGTACCGGCATGGCTATTTTTAGCCTCCTCCTCAAGCCCCTGTCCTGCTTCTTCGCCTACCAGATGTACAGAGAACGGGGCGGGGAGTATGCCCTGAACCTCGGTAAGCTGGGAAACCTTCGCGTCTCCTAACCCTGGTTCTGGGCCTAGTCCAGTCTCCCTCGGAGTGGGAGGTTTCACCCACTTGGTTTGTTTTCCTGCACAATGTCCGCGTTCCAGTGAAACTCCCCATTTCCATTCAGCACTCGGAAACAAAGTTCATTCAAGTAAGAATTTACTAAAGGAAAAGGTTTTCCTTGCACATACGTGCTGGTCGTTTCCGGCTCTAGGGGGCGGTACTCATCTTCGTCACAAACCCAAAGAACCAAGCGCTGTCCGAAGACGTCTCCGTAGTCATGTGGCTAGCATGACTAAACTTCGAAGGCGCACAGAACGTCGCTGTTCCCTTCCCACCAAAGTTGGTCCCTATTTTTCTACTTGCATTTTTTTACATGCTTTCGAACTGCTAGGTTGGCAGAAGCTGGGTGTCAGGATTCCGGCACTTAACCCCCATTTAAATCATGAACCTTGAGCCAAACTTCCAAAACTTCAAAAGGATTTATTGGGAGTTAACATGTCCGGCACTGCCTGGGTGTAGCCGACTCTGAGACACATCATTCATGGTCACCCTTGACCCTGGTTTTCCCCCACCCCCTCTGGGTGTATCATAGTTCATATTCTCCAATGGGACACATCCATAGCCCAGAGTCATCAATCACGTTCTCCAGTTAGAATTTTGCACGGTAGAAACTCCAGTCACCTAGTTACTATCTTTGAAAACATTTATGGAATGCGCTTTCGGTTTTGCAAGCTGTCGCACTGCTTCCTGCTCCCTTTCTATTGGCAACTCTAAAAGACCATAGAATTATTTTATGAGTTGACACTGGGACAAGTAACGGGAGCTCACTCTGTGATGCAATGCTAGGGATTCGAACCTCCCAAACTGCCGACCTTTCTGATCGACAAGCTCAGCGTCTTAGCCGTTGAGCTTAGGAATTTATTAAAATTCTTAATAATTCTTAATAATTCCCTGGGAATTTGGGAAGGGGGATTTTTTCAGTGAGTAGAAAATTAGACTCAACAACATTCTTTCTTAGAGGTCAAGGACAAGTTACCCTGCACCTGGAGAGGAGTGATTGGGGGGAATGTCTCCAGTTGCGAGGGTGTTTGATTGGCCCATGTGATGGACTGATGGGTGCAGAGGATGGATCTTTGCATTTCTTTTGGGGAAGGGAACACCTGGAACTCTCAAATTCGGGTTTTCCCCAGATGTGCCAATATGCCAGCCTCGAAGCTTCCTAAGTAAAATATGGCTTCCATGGCTGACACACAACTGGGAACGGTGGGCTGTTGTGCTTGCTATTCCAGCTTTCTACTGGCCCTCATTTGCTCTGCTTTACCTGTTTCCGTCGTGTGCACCAAGCCCGTTCTGGGGGGGGTCTTTTATTTGGTTTCTCTTCCATTGCAGAGCTGGAGAGCCCACCGGACAGCTGGTTGATCTGGGATAGTAATGTTTCCAACACTTTGCCTCTCCGGCGTGGCTTTTGAAGTCTACTTTTTCTTTAATTTATTGATTGTTTCCCTTGGGCTGTGGCTTGCTGCTTGCAAAGTGCCTCCTCCTCTTCCCCCTCCTCTATCTTCTCCATCGTTTCCTTTCCTCCTCCTCCTTCTCCTTTATCACTTTCTCCACTTCTCTTTCGCCTTCATCTTCTCTTTCTCCTTCAGTTTTCCTTCTCCTCCATCTTTTCTTCCTTTTCTGTCATCTTCTCCATCTTCTCTTCCTCCTCATTCTTCTCCTTGATTTCTTTCTCTGTCTCCTTCTCCATCTTCTCCTCCATCTTGTCTTTCTCCTTCATCTTTTCTTCCATCTTCTCTTCCTCATCCATGTTCTTCTTCAACTTCTCCGCCTTTTCTTTCTCCATCTTTTTCTTCCCAACTTATCCTTCTCTTTCTCCATCCTCTGCTTCACCTTCCCTTTCTCCTTCATCTTCTCCATTGTGTTTTTCTCCCTCTTTTCTTTTATCTTCTCCCTCTTCTCTTCCTCCTCCATCTTCTCTTCCTCATCCATACCTTCTCTTTCTCCTTTGTCTACTTCTCCATCTCCTCCTTTACCTTCCCTTTCTCCTTCTTTTCTACCCATCTTCTCCTTCTCTTTCTCCTTCATCTTCTCTTC